AGCCGGTTATTTAAGCTTTCTAACCTACGGCTTCTCAATTAACAAAACAAAAATAATAGCCAGGTACCGTGGCGTGCACTTGTAGTCCCAGCTGAGGCAAGAGGGTCACTTGAGCCCAGGAGTTCAAGGCTGCAGAGAGCGATGATGGCACCTGTGAATAACCAGTGTGCTCCAGCCCGGGCAACAAAGTGAAACCCCACCTCAAAAAGTGGGCAAAAGAAAATTGAGGATAATAACATCTACATAGCTAGCCTGTTGTAAGAAGAAAAAGAGATCACACGAGCAAAGCACTCAGTTTCTAGAAAACAACAAGCACTTGATAAATTGTACTGATTTTATCGGTTACCAGTGATTTCTGGTGTCTCATCAGCAGGAGCCATTGTGCCACTATCACTGGTCTCACGGCACCTTGTTGTATTATTTTCAAACTGAATTTTAGCTGTAGGCTACCTATCACTAGGAGGACAAAACTAAGCAATGTAGTTTTAAGAGTAATCAAATTCATTAACCGCTTCACTTTCTACAGGGTCAGACTTCATTAAAGAGGAATATGCGAGGGTTATTACATTAGCAATTTCAATAGGAAAGCAAACACAGGGAAAATACATCCGATTTGCCACTACAGGAGCAATATATTAGCCAACACATTAGTAGCAAATATTAGTATGTCTGATTAACACATTACTACCATCATCACATGGTAAGTATACAACGAGAAAAAGATGATGTAAAAATTTCAGGCTGGATAGGGATGGCTCATGCCTGTAATCCCAGCACTTTGGAAGGCCAAGGCGGGTGGATCATCTGAGGTCAGGAGTTCAAGACAAGCCTGGCTAACATGGTGGAACCCCGTCTCTATAAAAATACAAAAATTAGCCAGGCATGGTGGTGGATGCCTGTAATCCCAGCTACTCGGGAGGCTGAGGCAGAAGAGTTGCTTGAACCCAGGAGGCGGAGGTGGCAGTGAGACAAGATTCAGGACACTGCACTGCAGCCTGGGAGACAGATCGAGACTCTGTCTCAAAAAAAAAAAAAAAAAAAAAAAAAAAAAATATATATATATATATATATATATATGAAGGCATCATAAGGGTACTACTGAAGGAACAAAGGAATAAGAATGTAATAGAAAAATCAAGTACCCTGAATGTCCTAAAGGGCTTATTCTTAGCATTTAGGCAATAAAGACTTTAAGATGCCATAAAGCATGTTTACTGTTTTATCTATTGATTCTATTATCACATGCAAGTTTACTACAGGATTATATAAGCTCATAGATATGTTTCTTCAATTCCGGGGTGTTTTTCTCACAATCTATATGTTTGAGGTATCTCTTGTCAGCTATATAATAATTTAAATAAATCCTATATTGCTTTATAAGGGCACTGATATTAAAATAAGGTTTGCAGATGTTCCAGACAGACACTTCTCCTTCTCTTCCTTTTATTACTCCACATGTATTCAATATTTACTATATAAAGTGCCACACACAATGCTAGACTCTTGAAGAAACCTGAAAAGTGATCATGTGTTAAGTGTAACATGCATCCTCTATTCCTATGGAGATTGAATAAAATGTACTCTTAACAGATGTATCTTTCCTCAGCATACTTTTAAATAATGATAAAAACTTTGGTATTTTCCTTTATTTAACTTTCTCTTTTAACTGTTCATTTTAAAAAAACAAAAGTTGGTAAAAGGGTTTTTTTTTTTTTTTTTTAAATCTGCAAGTCAGGTGAATAAGTGAACAGAGAATGAAGAGAAAGAAAAACAGCCCAGCCAAGTGCTCTCTAATTAAAGACTGTTGCGTGAAGCATCTTCCAAAAACACAAGAAGGCTGAGTTTACCTATAAAATTCTCAAGAAACCCTTGCCCTGAAGGTATTAAAGCATCAGGGTAGTTATTTCAAGACTGGATTCCTTCAATCCCTACAGTTAAGAAAGTCACCACCTTCATTTGCTGTTATATTGTTTCTGTGTTTATCTTGTTGTTTTCGTATTGGCAAACTCTGTTCGGCACCCTTCAGATAAATAAAGTAATTTCTATAGAGTGGTCTATGCCTAGTGAGAGGAAAATAGAAATTTACAAGGTATTGCTGTGCAAAGCACCGAGGAGCAGCACCAGACCTCCCTTCCCTACTGCCCCTTTTGACACTGGGAAGCCTTGCAAGCCTTCTGGGGCTCAGTCACCTTTTCTGTTACATGAGGATGTGTCTGTGGAATCCTGAGTGCTCTGTGCTCTGCCATGCAGAGGAGGATGAGAAGAAACAGCCAGGTGTGAAGGTCTGGTCAAACCGACAAAGGAAGAGTTTGAGCAGTAAAAGCTCTGACTTCGAGATGGTGTAGACCTTTGATTGTTGCATACCTTTGTTCCATTTTGCTCTGTTTCTTTTGGACGGCCTTCTCCCTGTGTGTGGTACCACAGCCTGGATTCCCTCCTGCACATAAAGTGCATAGGAGTGGGTGGCTTTCCGTGGGGAACAAGTCTCACCCTTGAAACTCATTTACTTCATCATCTTTTGCTGCCTCTTCTGGCCAGAGGTTAGGATTTCAAAGTTCAAGTCTACAATTTATTTTATGAAGAAGGCTCTTCCCTTTTTTTTTTTTTTTTGAGACAGTCTTGATCTGTTGCCCAGGCTGGAGTTCAGTGGCACAATCTTGGATCAGTGCAATCTCTGCCTCCTGGACTCAAGCGATTCTCCTGCATCAGCCTCCTGAATAGCTAGGATTATAGGCACCCGCCACCACGCCGGGATAATTTTTGTATTTTTAGTACAGACAGAGTTTCACCATGTTGGCCAGGCTGGTCTCGAATTCCTGACATCAAGTGATCCACCCGCTTCGGTCTCCCAAAGTGCTGGGATTACAGGCCTGGGCCACTGTGCCTGGCTGGCTCTTCCTTTGTTCATTCTCGTATTCACTCATTTATTGAGCCACTACTGAGTGGGATAGATCCAGAGACAGATATAACAAGGTTGTTGCCACAAAGTGATAATGCAGGAGGAAAGGCCAACACGATACATACTTCAAAGAATTTTAAAAATAGAATGTCATGACAATCAGAACCTGCTGTCACTCCAACTATGATCTCTGAACTAAACATCTAGTGTTTTCCAGGCAAAGTATAAGGTTGTATTTCACATCTTTTGTTGATTTTTAGAAGCTGTCCTGGAGCATCTATTCAGAGGTCAAGAAGTCTGGCGCTACTTCAGGCTCTGAGCACTAGGATTTGCTATACACGCAGGATTAGCTGCTGCAATCTTGTAATCAATTAAAATGCTGAATTTATTCCATGGAGTATTGGGTTAGTTACCCTCAGAGCCAACACAGGAATGCTTTCCCCTGTGTTTCTTCCTACTTGAACTTCTCTATCTGTTATGGGTCCCTGGATCCCTGATCAGATCTTTTCCAAATCAAAATAACTGGCGCTTATCATACACCTTATACTGACGGGGCCTGTTTCCCTTTTTACCCACCACACATCTAGCGAACCTCCTGGTCTTCACGATGTATGCCTCACATTTACTGCAAACACAGCACGACTGTCACGGCTCTTAGCATATTTGATTTTTTTTTTTTTAACAGAGAATCACTTTGCTTTTTCAAGTGTTGAGTCAAAGCGTTAAGTAAAAGTTGACATGCCTGCAACTTATTTTTAAATAGCAAATCATAATCATCCCACCCTTTCTAAAGTACTAAACTTAACATATAAATCATATATCCTTACTGGAAGGAGCGAGCCAGAAAAATGTAAATAACAAAATTAAAATTGCTAAGCTACCTCATTATATATTTATAACTAACCATCAAATTATTAACTCTGTTTTCACAATTTCTGAAATAGGTTGTTGATATTAAGGAGGCTGTTCAACAGAAACCTCAACAAGTAGAGTCTTAACATGAAATCGACAAAACACCTTTGAAATGGTTAGCCATCCATTAGCATTTGCATTCAATTTCAGCAACTGTGGCTGCTTTCAGCTTTTTGGGATGTTAGTTTTCTACGCAAACATACTGCAAAGAACATACCTGATAGAAAATAAAAGTGACTTGTTTCCATGCTTTACACGTGACTTTCCAACAGCACTAATCAGATTTTACGTCCGTGACCATGGGACTAAGGTAATTACTTTATTTCTCTAGTAACCATCATGTGTCCTAGCAGGTACTTCCTCATTTATACGATTGCTCCCCTGTCCATATTCTTTGCTCATATTTACTGTGTCATTTGGCACCAGGTAGCACAGTTAACTGGACAATATGCCTATTTTTGTCTAGTTTGACACAGCCACTTAAGGGTAAGGATCCCCGTCTGTGGAAAGGTACGAAAACAAGGGCAGGGATCTCAGAATCGCCTTTGTCCACAGTGATTGCCATGATGTCAATAAATGAAAAACAAAGAAGGAAAACTCTCTGAAGGAAAATGTCACATATTCAGGGATAAGCGTCACCGTGGGAATCCAGGTGCCACAGTAACGCATGTACGAGTCACTTGGCAGAGCACCTTGCCCTGTGTCCCTTTGAGTCCACTTCACCCCTATGTATCTCCGGATGAAGGGATGATATTGAAAGTGCATCCTCAAGCTTCAGGCACAGCACCATTTCTGACATGGCTAAGAGTAGTCTGGATAACACAATAGCGACTACGGGCTGCAAAATTAATGCAACGTATGAGCAGTTCTGAATCACACAGGGGTCAAAATGGAGGAACTGAGGCAAATTTATGTACTGGAAGATGGAAGGACTACAAACAAGAAACAAAGAACTGTGACACGGTGGCAGGTATTAAAAAAATTGGGGCAATGTTAATTAATGGCGAGAAAGTGCTGGCTGCCAAGGAAGGGGATTTGGAAGTCTTGATGCATTCTTGGAAATATGGGACTACAAAAAAAAAATGTGAAGGAGTTTTTAAATGAAGCTCATGCGCAGATACTGAGGCTGCCACACTGTCTGGATTGGTTAGTGTCTACGGCAGCATGCAAATGGGGTGCTTTTCCTTACCTCCAGATGCTCTAAAATATAGGGTGGATTTGTCATGCCAAGCCTCAGCATTGCTCCCTCAGGAATCACTTCAACCAGTTTCCACAGGAGTGTGGGGAGATCGGTGCCAATATCTCTGCCGTAAGCCCCCGTGTCTTCACTGGTCAACCATATCTCACAAACGCCCTCTGTGAATCAAAGGAGATACTTAACAAATCTGTGGCAGAGCTGTTTCCTTCATCATACAGCTGCTCGCTTTTTAATGCAGTATTTCTCAACACCATTATTCGGGCAGTCTGGGTATTCAATTGCAGAGAGAAAGCAGCTATTCCCACAGTGCCAGTGGGTTATTAAGTTCATTTTATGAACACCAGAGAGTTACAACAATGTTGCAAATGATCAGTGTGTCCTATGAAGTGATTAACATTCGCAGCCAATCAGTTCAACGGTGCTTACCCCAAAGCACTCTGATGGAGACAAAAGCCTCAGTCCCACCTCAGAGAATACCTATTTTATTGAACACTCTAAGCCCTGGGACCGAAACAGTCACTCCACAGAATAAGCGCTATCAGCAGTTAACTCATTAATCAGTATGGCACCAACCTAAGGAAAAATGTCAAGTGGAGTTAAGGTTTAACTCACATATTATTAATTATAAGGTACCCATTTTCCCCATAGCAACTATTCTCGTCTGTCTTCCTTATTCAATTAAAAATAGTATTCATTTCATTGTTGCATCCAAAAAAGTTGGTTGCTGCCTACACTGAGTGTCTGTGTTGGAAAACCTGTTTACTGACAGCTTGCTTTCTATTTTCCATAAATCAGACTCTAGAAAAATGTATATGTATTTTTGTCGTTGTTATGCAGAGTTCTGACTTCAAATATCATCGCCTGCAATGACATTGCTTCAGAAATCAAGAGGAAATACTTTGGGATTCCCCTCATGTTATTTCAAATGAATAAAACAGAGTTAGCAAGGGCCATTCAGGCTTTCATGGCACATAGAACTTTCTGAATCCACATTCAGTGACATGATCAGCCTGTTTTAAAAGGCCAGATGATTAACAAGGCTAAAACAAACAATGAAGTGAGCCTGTGAAATTTGCTCACGCTCAAGTGGCTTGTGGCTTCTGAAGAACACACACACACAGGCACACAAACTGATGACTTTAGCCTGAACCAAAGTGTAAGTTTCTAGAAAGTGTCTTAAAATTATAATTTTAAATTATCTTTAGTTGACAGAACAGAAGAGTTTCAAGAAGGCATTAAATATTCCTAGCCAAGAGAGACAACAAATAAAACACAGGCTTTTATGTGAATATGGACTTAAAGCTCACAGAATAATAAAACATAAAATAAAGATCTTCACTCCTCTTAAAGGTAGAGAAAAACACAGCATAAAGATTTCCCATCATTATTTTTTCCTTTAACATAAGAAATATAATTACTTTATCAAAAAAACTAAACCACATAAAAACATTTTCACTTTTTCCTGCCTATCTTTTTGAGACATCCACATCCTCTTCCACACCCACAGAACATGGAAAATATAAGGATAGAAATAAGATTGTAGTTTCCCTAAAGAATCAATAACTTAGCATTGAGAACAGAATACACAGAAAAAAAGCTCACTTTAAAAGCTTTTTTTAAAATAAAAAGCTCAATACATTAAAAAGCTGAAGATATTTTTAGCATCTGAAAATCAGTAATATTATGAATATGTGCGTTTTCATAGTTTAAATTAAATACCTAGTTCCAGAAATAATAAACCTTTGCTTAATCTTAATCATTTAATAAAAAGCTTTATCCTCCCAAGAAATAGTCTGGCATGTCCATAGGCTATTTTTAGAGGCGTATAATTTTATAAACACTCTGTACATGGAATAAATCTTTTTCTATTTAAAAAGTAGACTGAAATTAGTGGTACCGTCTTTAATATTATACCTGCCATCAGACACTGGACTCTACAATCTTTTTTTTTTAAAAAAAAAAATCTTATCACAAAATCCACTTCAGGAAAAGAGATTGCTAAGGAACAACATAAACAGATTTTAAAACATTCTGAAAGAGGTTATAAAAACAGGACATCGTCCATAATTTTCCAGTTACTGGCATTTGAACAACACAATATGAATATTTTAAAATGAACAGAATAATTTTAATTTATAATTTTTCCATCCAAATGGTTCCATGTTATGCCTTATGTAGAGAGAGCGGGTTCCTGGAACAGTGCCTTGCTGCTGCTAGATGAATACAGAAGGGGAAAAATCGCTATGAATAGGAATGGAAATAACATCCACGCAGAAACAGCAGCCAGCTCTTAAAGCTGCATAGGTGGGGACCAGTAGCCCCCTGGTGGGCTGAAACTTCAAATTAAATCACATAAAGAGGAAGCAGCTGTAACACTAAATCAGCAATAACAGGAATAATGGTCTTGATGTCGCCAAGATCAAGGCTGCTAAAATACTCTATATAATAGCAACCTGGTTTAAAACACAATGGAACGAAAGAGCATGTGCAAAATGTGAAACCTCTGGACTCGAGGAGAATTTTCCCTCGCCAATTCAATTCAAAATGTGTCAAAGATGATCTTTGAGAAAGTTCAGCTTTTGTCAGGGTGTATTTCAAGCATGAATCCTAATGAGAATGGACCCCTCAAGTAGTTAGGATATGGAAGTAATTTCATACAAAAAGTGATGCTAAATGTGGAATCCCCATGCCTGGCATCCTTTTCCCTGGAAAGTCTCCTGATTACTCACAGCATGGGCAGTTCCTGCCAGGCCACGCTTGCTATGAAGTCACCAGAGCACCTGAGGGTACCAGTAGCCACTCATGGACACACATTGGGACACACGCTTATATCTCCACACTTAATTAGCCAGACATACGGACAGAAGTCCAGAAATCAGCTTCATTCCTTAAGGACTTCAGTTACGAGCTATATTTCTTTGCACACGCAGCACTCAATTCAATATGGCCCTTACCTACTGTGTGCCCTGCCGCTCTTCCAGCTCACCACAGGTACGGATTCACTATTAAACTCGCTATTACCTAACAGCTGGCAAGGGGGCAGTGACTAATGTCTGGGACGCTTCATATCCATCGCTGTTGGTGGTGGGGATACAATGGGACAGTCTTCATGAACACAGCCTTAGACCAAAATGAAGGGCCTGCTGGGCTGGCTTAAAATGGACACAATGTCAGCCACAGTAAGACAGTCCCAGTCTGCACTGTAACTTGGAAGTGGATTAATGTATGTCAGGAAAATAAACACATAAAAATGAAAAAGAGATGCAGGCAGGAGAACTAAGAAAACAGAAGTGAATGTCCATTAAAAACTCCCATGCCTGTAAAAATAAATACATGCAAAAAGAGAAAGTGGTGGGGTAGGAAAGCGGGAGACAGAAATCAGGGTTTTTAGGCATCCAAGGGAAGACTGTACTTATTTCGAAAATTGTTTATCTACCTGACTTTTGTTCGTTTTCCCAAAATTGTTCAGTCTACCCAACTTTTTAAATGAACATGATATTGATCAGATTGTCTACCATCCTTTTGATGCATTAATTTTGGTAAAGGGAAAAGCAAATACTGGGAAGAAAGAATGCACCATACAGGAAAACAGCCTTAAGTTTGGTTATTAGATTCCATTTTCGTCTTACCCAAGCAATTACAGGGCAGCCTATACAGTTGAAACACAAAGCCATTTTCCCCAAAGGCAGATTCCCATCTCCGCTCCACAGCGATTTGAGACGACAGGAGACAGAAAACGTAGAAGACATAAAGGTCTGATAATAAAAGAAGGATAATATTCTCAATAAAACAGTCTCATCACAAAGAAAATCCTCTTTGAAAAAATCAAACTTTGCCAAAACTCATTTTCAAAAGATGATGACTCATATAACTTTATTTATGAGTTTCATTGTAATAAATTAAAATATGGGTGACGACTGATTTCATCTGGTCAGAGAAGTGGCTTTTCTCTAGTAGTTCCTGCTCTATCACTGAGGAAAATTTCCACAATCAGTAGTCTCTCAAAATAAGGACTACAAACATACAAAGACTGTAAATAATGATTATGGGGATCAACAGTTAAAGGGCACTGGAGGGCAGGGAAACCTACATCAACTACACATAACTTAAAAGTTCTAGGAAAATCCGCTAACTTTACCTCACAGTACCCAGTATGTACTCTCCCATCTCCGTCTTTTTTTTTTTTTTTTTTTTTTTTTTTGAGACAAGTGTTTCACTCTGTCACCCAAGCTGGAGTAATGCAGCACGATCTTGGCTCATTGTAACCTCCATCTCTGGGGTTCAAGTGATTCTCCTACCTCAGCCTCCTGAGTAGCTGGGATTACAGGTGTGCACCACCAGGCCTGGCTAAGTTTTATATTTTTAGTAGAGATGGAGTTTCACCAGGTGGGCCAGGCTAGTCTCCAACTTCTGACCTCAGGTGATCTGCCCACCTCAGCCTCCCAAAGTGCTGGGATTACAGGCGTGAGCAACCACGCCCAGCCCCTCACCCTGCCTTTACTTTTCCGTTCCCATCCTTTGTTTTTTCCTCTCAATTCTATCCTCTCCACCATCTGATTCCAGCTTTCATTCTCCCACTAAGGAGTAAAGATTAAACATATATTAATTGTTTATTTAATAGGCATTAAATTATCCACTTTTACTTCCTGCTGCTTTAAGAGTCACAGTACATATTAATTGGATTTTTAGGGGTTCTTTCTTCTTAAAAAATAATCTCAGAAAATTCAGAAATTAGGCCAGGCGCGGTGGCTCACACCTGTAATTCTGGCACTTTGGGAGGCTGAGGTGGGCAGATCAGGAGGTCAGGAGATTGAGACCATCCTGGCTAATAGGGTGAAACCCCGTCTCTACTAAAAGTACAAAAAATTAGCCAGGCGTGGTGGTGGGTGCCTGTAATCCCAGCTACTTGGGAGGCTGAGACAGGAGAATCGCTTGAACTCAGGAGGTGGAGGTTGCAGTGAGCTGAGTTTGCACCACTGCACTCCAGCCTGGGCAATGGAACAAGACTCCATCTCAAAAAAAAAAATTTTTTTTTAGAAATTAATATGATCCTTTGCTTAAGCACTTGAAAGGTCCTGGATGTTTCTTCAATGGAGATGCTTCTAAATAATAAGATATATATCCCACCGCTACAAAAAATATAAAAATTAGTGGGGCA